GAGCATCTCGGAGCATGGCGCGAATCGCGAGTCAAGAGACGAGAGCAAGACTAGAGTAGAAAAAGTGGATACGGCGAAACGCGTCATACATCTATTTCGACTTCCGAGTAGATAAATTGCATATCCACGAAATATGAAGGAGAACGTTAACTCTAATCGTCGGACTTAGAGACTTTAACGCAGCGGTAGAAAAGTAGATGGGGTGAAACACGTGATACGACTACTTCAACTTCTAAGTAGGTAAAAATACATATGCACGAAATGAAGGAGAACGTGGACGCATTTGAGCTGACTCGGAGACTTTAACGCAGCAGCAGAAAAATTGGATTGGGCGAAACACGCTATAGGTATACAACTATTTCGACTTCCAAGAAGATAAAATTTCATGGTCATAAAATGAAGGAGAACATTATGTTTTATAGCATCTCAACGATACGATTCGTCAAACTCAACTTTCCATTCAAGTAACCGAAATTCGATTGCATGAATCGAACGTTCAGTTACACGAATCAAGTAGTCGGTTTTATTCTCAAAAGTGAACGTTCAACGCGCTTATTTTCACGAAAACTCATGCCAAGGATGCTGACACGAGTATTTTATAAGACTTCGTGCGATAGCGTTGACTTTTTTGAGAAAATTACTGCGTAAAGTGTTAAGGTTTTAAGAGATATCTGAGAAAGCAATAATTTTTGGAAAGTTGATGAGATCGCGTTACATTTTTAGAACATTCCTATTAATTTGTTGAAAATTACTGCGGACGCGCTATGTCATTATGCGTAGGTTGAATTCCTGGTTGCTCGGAACTGCGTCGACAAAAGAACCTCCTGTACTCCTGCTTTCAGTTCAAAGCAACCAAATCTTCGAGAAATGATCGCTTTCTCTCCTAGAACGTTCCGACTCAAAATCTGAGAGGACTACCTTTTACGAGTATATATGGTAGTCGCATTTTGTATGCACATTCGACAATTTTATGTTTCGCGGCATAGACCCTAAAATTTAGTTTCTGGTCGTCAGTAGATTGGCTTTTCGTCCAAAAAGACATGGCATTTCTGAAGAAAGCCATACGTCAAAACAAAGAAACACGGCTCTCACGGTTCCCACCAAATTCAGAAAATGAAATTTTCCTGACATATTTTGGTGTAAGTCATTGACACACGAAGATATGCCAGATGGTCAAAAAGACATTAGGTACACTGGAAAGAAAAACAAAAAAAAAACACATTGGATCTGGAGTCCTGACTCTTGAAAACATCGACAAGAAAAAATACTCTTGATTCAATCGGATTTTTGCTTCAATCAAGAACCAAGCCTCTTAATTTGAGCGGATTTCCTTGTGATTTAAGCAAAAATCTGATTGAATCAAGAGTATTTTCTCTTGTCAATGTTTTCAAGAACCTGGACTCTAGATCCAATGTGTTTTTTTTTCCAGTGTAGTTTTTGGGCAAACTTTGTTGTTCGGAACGTCAAACTCATTCTAGAACACAAATAAAGGTGCTTGACAATTTTTCCCGGAGATTTTCGTCATCCTCCGTGACATTTCCAGGTTTTCCCTGGCTCTTTAAGATTCCCTGACTGTGGCAACCTTGGGATCCTTATCATCATTGCCTGCGTGACTTGACCCAAGGGGCAAGGGCAAATAGCAAACGTCATAGCTCTGACGGACTGGACTCGGAAATGCAGAACGTGTTAACAAAATTGACCTGATTTCTATGAATAAATGTACAAGGCATGTAAACAATGACCTGAATATTTTCGTTCGTCAAGAGTGGTCGCTAGCTGCGCGGCTCCTCCATTATTCCTCATTTTCTCTTGTCGCAATTGGCCGGCCGGCGACCAAGTTCAGCAATTTCTCGAGTTCCCTTTCCTCAAGGGCTTGCTACTGCCCGGCGCGCCGCACAGTAGGTCGAATCAATCAGAGAGGTCGCACATGAAATTTTTGACTGAAACTGAAAATTTTACACTGGAAAAAAACACATTGGATCTAGAGTCCAGACTCTTGAAAACATTGACAAGAAAAAGGACTCTTGATTCAATCAGATTTAAGCTTAAATCAAAAGGAAATCCGCTGCAATTAAGAGGCTTGGTTCTTGATTTAAGTTTAAATCTGATTGAATCAAGAGCCCTTTTTCTTGTCAATGTTTTCAAGAGTCTGGACTCTAGATCCAATGTGTTTTTCTTTTCCAGTGTGATGTTTATTTCGTCACATCTTGAACAATAAGGGGTGATTCTAGAAGAAAATTTCACGAGGAAATCAATGAAACCACTCTTAGAACCTCAAAGTCTTACATAAACGGAGTTATGAGCGTTTAAAGTTTCCAAATTTTGTCCGACCTCTCCTACTGACTCGATCCACTGTGCGGCGCGCGGCGGCCGGTTTAGCTTTAACGATTATTAGACGCGTGCCGCAGCTTCTATGCTTGCTTCGGGCATACGTTCATAGAAAACCGCTTGGATGTTGGAAAATCTCAGAAAAAGTATTTACAGAGTTGCCACAGAATTTGGAAAATTAGATTCCCTGACATTTTTTTTGGGGAAATTCCTTGACAATTGAACAAATGCCAGATTGTTAAAAAGACATAAGTAGAAATAGTTTTCAGGAAAATTTGTTGTTCGAAACGTCAACAGGGTGTCGTGTCTAGTGTTTCTTCATTTTGGGAAATCCTGATGAAATTCTGATTTTTCCTGATTTTTGACTGCTAAATCCTGATTTCATAATTTTTGTCAAATCCTGATTTTTTGCAGAGAAATATTAGGAGTAAGTAACTTCACAAAAATAGCTTGATAAAAAAGCCGATTGGAAATCTTTTCTCAAATCCTGATTTTACGACCGATTTTCCCTCAAATCCGGATAGAATCGGGAAATTCAGGAAAATCCTGATGCTAGACACCCTGCCAAATCCACTTGAGAAAGCAAATGAAGGTGATTTGACGATTATTTCCTGACATTTTCGTCATTTTCCCTGGCATTTCCCGGTTTTCCCTGACTGTGACAACCCTGTATTTATTCACCGACCGAACGTGCACGATGGCTTAATAGATCACTCATGCTTGGGTGTATCGTTGGTTTGGATCAGGCCGTGAGATATTCAGTGCTTGAGGGATGAATGGAATGGGGAACTAATCTCAAGGACTGCGCAGGACTTTTGCATCACCCTGTAAGTAAGTTATTTAGTTGACCTATATGTATGTTGAATAGTTGACAACCTCACCCATTCCACTCTAGCAAGGAAATCACATGCACAGAAAAGGCAACTTCAGTAGATGTCGACACAAAACACTCTTGTTTGAAAGGCTAGAATTGTTATTTCCACTGGAATTTTGGCACCAAGTTATGTATTTGCAGTAGTTAAACCTATTTTTAAGAAAATGACTCCTACCATGAAACTTCGTCCTTGTGTCAACTTCACGTACACGGAGAAAAAAACTTCGTGTGTGGAACCCGAAGTTGAGGGCATATGGATCTCTGAAGATTTAGGATCACGTGTCTAAGAACTTGAGGTCCAGTTGCCGAAGTTCGGGTCAGACATCTGAAGTACTCCGGTACATACCGAAGTGCCTCGATGTCTGACCTGAACTTTGGCAGCTGGACCTCAAGTTTTTAGATACATGATCCGAAAACTTCAGACATCCATATGAACTCAACTTCGGGTCCCACGCACCAAGTTTTTTTCTCCGTGTATGAAAGAGGGCTCTGTAACGTCACATCAGCGGTAGGTGGGGGTGATAGGTTTAATGTAAATATCATGTCATTTTTGGGAAATGTCTGCTCTAAAGTAATCTTGAAAGTTAAACCTGACTAAGAAGACAGAAAAAAAATACTCCCATCGTAGCCAAACTTAGCTTCTGGGATACTTTCCCGGACGTGGTGCTTATGAAGTTCTATTCTATTCTTTAAGAAGACTTATAGTGCACATTTGATGATTTTTATTTAACAACAAACTCTTAAGTCTGAATGAAAAAGTTGCTGAGGAGTGTAAAGCTATTGATGAATTCGTTTCGATTAACACAGCGCTTCAATAGACTATTTAGCGAGGAGGATGGCAATTCCAATAACAGGCCTGACTAAAGGTTTAACATAGTTACGATTCAAACCATCCAATGATGCTTCATCAGCTAGTAAAACCCAACCTAGCAAGCCACATACTAACCTCAAACACAAAGTTTTAATTATGAAAATTCACCAAAATCTTACAGGACATAAGTTTCCGCAGCATCGACCAAGATTTAAAAAAGGTAATATTTTTAAATGAATGGGTCGGTTTTAAATCGCTCAGCACAGGGGCAGACTCGGACTAAAAAAGAAATCCCTAATGCCACCCCATATTTGTTAATATTCTGTAGTGTAAAGGAGACAGACAGCTGACCAAAATTACCCTAAATATGGACCAGCCCACCTGGATTTTCTCCGGTTGCCCTTCTGCACCTGTCTCAGCATATTTCAGGTCAAATTTTGAGGCATTTAATTCTCAAACCATTTCGTTTGGAATTCAAAGAATCTAATCAAGTGCAATATAAAATTTGAAATAAGTTTTTGAGTAGATATCTTGTTGGCCGGGCGCGTAACTACATATCAGTCTTGATAGAGTCAAGTGGGCATTGAGGTACTCCAACAGCTCCATAATTTAACAGGTAAATAAATCAATAAAGCATATGGATAGCCCTACTAAAGAAACAAGAGCTTAGATAAAAGAAAATCGGAGGACCAGGTAAGTAACGATAATAACGGCGAAGTACAGGTGAATGAAGCACCTGATGGTAAATATACAGGTGTGGAAAGGGGTTAATATGTAGGTGGGCAACAGGTTAATGGAAGCAACAGGTTGTAAAAAAGCGGACATAACGAATTTGAAAGGTGAGTATACATTTTAGACTCGTTCACGATAGGTGAATTCTTGATTATTAAGAATATCAAACGGATTTTACGAAATCATTAGACATAATATCCTCCACTTCGAGATGAGGGAGGATAGGAAACGAGCACAAATGAGGTGATAACTTACGGTCATTTCAGTGTAATCCATGAAAGCATAGCCGATTAAGTACCGCAGTTGAATACAAATCACCAACGGAACATATCACTTGAAGGCGGAATTACACCTCCACACAACACTTCACGACCGAAAACTTAATGAAATCCTCGAAAAACAAGTGACGGACGGTGACACACGCATCAACTTATCACTTTTTTAATTGGCAAAACCTATTCTCGGACACGAACCAAAACAGACGAAGGAGAAAAACACCACGTTTACGATCGCTGCTCACTGCATTCTTCCTAAGTACTTACAACTTTCTAGATTGCTTTAGTTCCGTGGATACCCGCCGAGGCGGTCTAGCGCTAGTAGTCGCATACCTGTGCTTTGGTACACATCAGCAAGAGGCCGTGCCGCGACACAACACACCTTCCAGGTTGAAAAGGGTGGGGGCTAAGGGGGGAGGGGGTTCGTTCAAGGTCAAAGCGTACACTCCCCCCTAAAAATACTGTGAGAATCCTGATTCTGGTTCTGTCATTTTGCCATGAGAACCGCGGTTGCCAAACCTGAGCTTATTTATCTCGCGCAAAGCTCCCCGATATCGCGCGGTACGACGCGACGTGGAGTGGAGGGGAGAGGGGATCCACTGGAAACTTTAATTCTTGGCTTACTATCAGTGTCTGCGTCATGTCCTGCAGAAGTGTAATGGTGAGAATGAAACGTTTACCGTTGCCCCTCCTCGCCCCCCCCCTCCCACCCCTCGGTTCACCTCAACGCACACGGGATTAATCCCATCCTCGTATAAGTAAGGTCTGATTGTGAGACACTTTCTGGGGGCAATTAGAAACACTTGATTTGTTTTTTAACCGCGCTCCTGAATCCTGCTGGCATGTATGTTTGAGTCAAAAATGATGCACATCGGTCCATTTGCATCAATTTTCTCAGGTTCCGAATTGAGCATTGTCATTTTTGGTCACCATTTTTTCGACAATTTTACCTCATACTTTTTCGTGAACGGAATATTTGCTCATGAGCTAATGAAAATACTTTATTTTAACACATAATAAGGCATGATATCTAATTCAGCCTAATTGGAGCATTTTTTAAGGTTCTGAAATTGATCAGAATATTTTAAGAATTCAATTTGCTGAAAATATAAAGCTCTCGGAAAATACTGATTTTCTCTACCGCTTTCGCTTACTAACAAAACGGCTTGTGTCCAACACTATATTTAAGATGTTTTGAAAGCCTATGAAAAAGCTCGACGAATAATTTTGAATGCCTGAGTTTCTGCCCTGGTAAAAATGGCAAGTGCTCAGATCAGTAGCACTTGCCTTTGGAACAGACCTAAGCACTGATGTCAGTGCTGCCGGGCGCTGATCTGCTACCTCAGTGTTAGGTCTGTTCCAAAGGCAAGTGCCTCTGATGTAAGTGGCACTGACCTAAGTGTCTCAGACGTAAGCGGAGTGGAAACTCCCAGAAATACTGTACAGGCAAAAATTTCGTTAATTACCGATCTGCCAGGTACGTTAAGTCACTATTTGACGATCAGGGAGGGCTGCTGTGAGTTTTCAATCCCAAGCAAGTATCACAATCTTCAGGGGACATTTTGCATTTTGCAGGGGGTAATTTTGCCAGCAAATGATGATTTTGTCTTTGAATGTGAATCCGATACTTAATTTTTCTATTATTCTTTTTTAATCAATCAACATGTAAATGAAGTTTTGTAAGTTACGTTTCTTTGAAAAAAAAAATGGATCGCACTAAAATTCAAAATTAATGCTAATGATGCAAAAAAAATAATGAAAGTTGAAATTATACAAAAAATATAAATTAGCAGATACAAAAATTGAAAGTAAAGGAGTAAAAAAGTTAGAAAAGAATTGAAAATAAAGTAGGAAAATTTTAAAAAAAATTGAGACTGAAACATTTTAAAAACAGTTAAAACTGAAAAAAATTAAAACCAAATTTAAAACTATTTTTTTTTATAAAAAAATAATAATGCTTAAATAAATATATCTAAATACATATTTTAGCGGTGATAATATTTTTATCGATCTCATTTTTTGTTGTGTTTTAATTATTTAAGTGCCATCTTAAACGAAGAGGGTAAAACAAATTATTCAAGAGTGTGGCTACTGAAACTAGTTTTCCTTCCCTCTTAGAAAATCCCACCTTCTACAAAATATGCCTCTCTGAAAGATAAAGTTTGTGGGCCCCGTGTCCCGAGGAAATATTCCCCCACGAAAATGAAATAGGGTGGGGGAAGGGGGAGCCATCTCTACTTTTTGGGAGTGAGTGCGGTTCGATTAAGATTGATGTCAGAGACTTACCCTCTGAACCAAGTCCTGACCTCAGTCCCGCTTACCTCAGAGACATCTCTGCACTTAGGTAAGTCTTTCTCCCGACGTCAGTGCCTCTTACCTCAGTGCTGACTTCTTGGGTAAGTGCTTTAACACTTACGTCAGAGAAAACTGAACTGACCTCAGAGCAAATTGCACTGACCTCAGTGGAAAATTCACTGACCTAACACTTGCCATTTTTACCAGGGTGGAACTCGATTGTCGACTGGAACTGAAATTGCTTTTTCGGGCGTTTAGGCAGGTCCCGTTCGGCATAGGCGCGTGCGACTAGAAGTCTGAGGTCGTTTTTCGCCGATCGATGTCACAGGCAAAGAACAATTAATGTGTGCGACTAAAGAGCTAAAAATCTCTCGCGTGGTTCAGCATGAGCAAATTTTTAAATGAAAAGGTCTCCATACGTCAAGCAACTCGCGTTTGTCGGTTCGCCCACTTTTCTGCACGTGCGTTAAAGTCTCTGAAGTGATTCCTGCATTTACGGCGCTCTATATACGGCACTCAACCCCCACTGCTCCCTGTTGAACCACAACTCTTCGGGATTGAGAACCTTAGCATTTCTGCTTCAATCCCATCCCTCCAACCTCTCATTGTGCGCCCTCTGCGCCTTCTCCCAGGAGGAACCCAAATCAAGGATCTGTCAGCAACCTGTCTCCTGCCATTCTCTGAACATGACCATTGATACCAAATGAGTTGTTTCGTCTTAATGTCATGCACGATGATCTGTTTGACATTTATGATCTCCCGTACCATTTCATTCCTGACGCGATCCTTTCTGGAAATGATATTTTGATCCATATTTAAAACCGTGGGTTTGAATTAAAGCTGCAAGGATACTGAATTCAACACTGGAAAACAAAAAAAAACACATTGGATCTAGAGTCCAGACTCTTGAAAACATTGACAAGAAAAAAGACTCTTGATTCAATCAGATTTGAGCTTAAATCAAAAGGAAATCCGCTCAAATTAAGAGGCTCTTGGTTCATGATTTAAGCTTAAATCTGATTAATCTAAGAGTATTTTTTCTTGTCGATGTTTTGAAGAGTCTGGACTCTAGATCCAATGTGTTTTTTTCCAGTGAACGGTGCAATTAGTTTTTTCTAGTATTATTGGTTCGCGAGAAAATTAACAGGATATACCTTCTTTGGTACTCCCGTATGTTTTCAAGAGATGGCGCTTGTTCAAGATACTGGAATCGATACTTTACGTTATTTGATAAACAGCTTACCATGTAATCTTCTATCTGTGAAGCTGGAACAACTTTGTATGTAAAAAATTTGCTGCAAAAAAAGAAGTTGCCACTCAAGTCATCAAAGGTCATCAATAGGGAATTTAACATCATTATAAAACGCACTTTGATCCCCGTACAACTGGCGAGACTGCACAGCGAAATTAATACAAATTAGCGTACTCCTAGGTCAAGAAATTGCCTATTCGTGAATATTGAAGGCGTTTTTTCAAACGCGGTGATGGCATGTTAATGTTTTGAAGGATTGATTTACCGAATTTTACCAAACTTTATAAATCCAAGGGTTGTTGAGGAGCAGTGAAAGGGTAAAAATTGACGTCATTTAGTAGAAAACAGCAGTTGCTTCACTTTGTCCTCAAACATGGAGCTTGACACCATCATAAAACGCACTGTGGCCTTCATCTAACTGGTAAAACGACACGGCGAAATAGATACAAATCAATGTACTTCTAGGTCAAGAAATTGCCTACTCGTGAATATTGAAGGCGTTTTTTCAAACGCAGTTATAGCATGCTCTTATTTTAAAGTATCGATTCTCGAACAGAATACTTTCATTAAAAGAGCAAATGTCGCCATATGTGATGAATCCAAGGCTTTTCGATGAGCAGTGTAGGTAAGGGCAGAAATTGATGTCATTTCCTAGAAAACAGCAGTGAGTCCACTTTGAAAATTACTCTTGGCTTTAACTTTTCATGATAATTGGCCCAATAGTGTTGGGCTAGAATAGTACAAAAAAGAAAAACAGATTTTTCTCTGAAATTTTGGATGAGAGCGTGCCAAGAGGAAATTTTTTGCACGACTGACAATAATTTGACTATATTTTACAGTTCAGAACGAATATTTCTGGCTCATTTTAGAACCAACAGAAATGTGCTTTCGCTGAGGAACCAGAAATAGTAGCTCCTAATGGCAGAATGTGGTCTAATGAAGTCAGTTATCAAAATAATACTTTTTATATGTATAATATCGATATTAACGACCATTTTTACTCCATATAAATTAAAGTCTCCGAGAAAAATGATAACAAAAAACCAATACCAGATGCAGAAAATATATTCTGATTTTCCAATCTGTTATCACAGAAGGTAGTAAAACATTCTGAACGCCATGCTCTCTTCCCTAAATTGACCTATCGAAATCACAGTTGGCGGTTGGTGCGCAGTTTTCAAAAATCTCGTAGAATACAGGCTCTTAAAACCGAATCTCACCAGTCAGAGGAATCGAACGAGCGTAAGAATTGGTTTTAAAATCGCCTTCAATTTGCGTTGCAGGCAAGCAGCTCAACTCTGAATCAAGCCTGTCCTCATATCTCGTCTCGCACGGACAGTATGTTCACGTTGGTTCATGTGGTTTGCCTGATGTTAATGCCTTGATCAGATGATAATACAAACGCAGTGATATTTGAAGCACGAAAATACTGGGAAAATTGTCGTGTAGAGAACGAGAGAACTTATTTAGATTGTGCCCAGAAAAACTATGTAGCAACCAAGAATTAATGTTAATCGAGAATTCAGGGTGCACCGTGGGTATGTTTCTGTGTAAAATACCTTGCGTCATTTCACGGTTAAAAGGAGAAACCCGATCGCTTAGGTGTTTTTGATTTTTTAGCGGAATACCTTCGATTAAGTGCGTATCTTCCGACCAATATGTGTATGAAAAATACAAACATATATTTTTTAATCGATAAAGAAAGGATCAAATGCAGTATTTCTTATTAGAATGGATATCGAAGGTTAAACTACGCATCTAGGTTTGAATCTTTTCTACGTTTTACATTTCTATAAAATATCTGATAATCTTACTTGTTTGCACAGAATTCATTGATTTTTATCCGGTCTTTTAACAAAATTCTCTAAAAATACGTAAAAATGTGGAGCGATATTCTTTAATAAATAATATATATGAGCTGGAATTTTTAGACACATGAATCTAGATCCGATGTATGTTCAGTAGTTTCTTGATCAATGAGCACATCCTCCTGATGATTTAGGAGAAAGTTGGCCACGGCTACTCATAATCAAGGTATATCATAAAATAAAAATATTTGGTCAGTGGTTACAATGCGGTTTTTCAGCACTTTGAGGCGATCGATCAATTGATAGTTTCTGGGTCAAAGCAGTGGTGTGGCGCTATTAACGCGATTGATCTACCATTTAATCTAAGGAAAAGGATCGACACACAGAGTGTTCGCAACGAACACCTTAATGGTGGATTTTTACCACAGCTTCTAATGAGGAAATATCGACAATCGATTATTTACGCTTCACCACTGGATTAAGGGAAATTTATTTTAGAATTTCCGAGCATCGCCTCACATTACGCAGTAAAACGTTAAGTATTTGTGCACAAGAAACCGTTTGAATGAGTTTTACAAGTGCATATCGTACGTATCGAGTGAAAATCGCAAAGCGGGAGACAAAACGATTTACGAGATTCATTTGTGGTATTTCCAGAAGTACCTATCTCGAAGTGATTCTCAAGCGCACAGCCCACGTTCAAACTGGGGCACTCAAATTGGAACTAATTCTTCAATTTCTCAGCCATTTTTGCACGAATTCTTTTAAAATTTCAAGATCTGATCTGTGATGTGTCCCGAATACATCAATTACCTTCAAAGATCGTCGGGCCGACGATCTTGAATCTTGAAAGGCAACAGTCAGCAGTTCCATCGATGAGCCTCTTTGAAGCCCCTAGTTTGAACGAGGGCTGGGCGTTTCAGCCAAACGTGTACATGTACAAGAGTACATGACACCCTACAACATGATGTAATGCTAGGAAATTTTAAAGAAATGTCTTAAACTCTAGAAAGTATCGATTGAGCGATCAACTATCGACTATCGAATTAATCTTCATATCGTGAAGATCCACCTCATAGGGCACTGACTTCGGTCCGGGTCCGTGTGATGTATTTCACCGATGTCGCAAACAGAAAACACTGGTGAAAGAACGAAAGTGAATGAATGCACGTAACTATGCGCACAAATGATGCTATAGATATATAAGTAGTAGAAAATTATTAAAACAGTCAAGTCATCATTCAATGACGTCTTATCGATAGGAATAGAGGGAATTGTGCAAGAGGCTTGCCAAGTGCAAAGGGAGTCTCGGTGTGAGAGTGTGAGATATCTTCACAATCAGTAATTGAATGATCTTTATAATATTACATCAGCCTGTAAGTGCTTAATCTCTGAAGGAAATAATATCGTATCAAGTAAACTGCAAGCACTTAGTGCTGTTTTACTATTTAAGTGGCGCGTGCTTGAACACCTCGCATCATCATTTCAGCCTTGCATTTGATTCGCGCACTTAATCAGGTATCTCACAAAATTGTCTAATTATCTATTTAATTGAATAATTTTAAACACAGCTTGCGAAGAAATTCCCCTCTTCTAAATTCTTCGCTGCAGAGACATCTAAAGAACAAGCATTTTATAGTATGCATGGAGGAGAGAGAATACATTTTAGGTTTTGAAATTAATGGATATACTAAAACATAATCATTGCTATAAGATTTCGTCATTTTCATGAGTTTTGAGATGAAATTGCGATTTTTGAGCGAGAATTTTTTAATTAACTATTTCATAGACCTTTACATAAAAAGGTTGAAATTGCAAAACTGATTGTGAGACTTGCTATACGTTCATTAAAGAAGAAATCTCATGCACTCCACTAATCTGAAATTCTAGTTAGCTCTCCCAGTCTCCTCTCTTTTTCCCCATATTTTTGAACTTCTTAATACTTTCTCACCTTCCAATCATTTTTTCGCCCCTAAAAGTCTCACTAAATGGAGAGGCTTGGAAGACAAGAGGCACAAGTGCAGTTTATGGTTTTTGCTATTTCAATAATAAATTGCATTTTTATAAAGTTTCAAAATTACATGGAGCCTAATGGCTGACAGGAAGTTCAAACTCACATTTCTAATGCTTATAAATCGGATTTTGGTAGAGAATTTTTCCCAGAGTATATTGATAGACTAGTTTACGTTGAAATCATTAATGTATCAAATTTCTCAAAAACTGCTCTTATGCGTCTCGTCCTATGAGCCCCTCGATCATACTTTTTATACTAATTTCTCTCTCTCCGATCTTTTGGGTCTACAGTAATTTAAGTGCGGTGAAAACTTTTCGGCTGTTTGGCTGCACTTTTTATCTCAATCATAAGAACGATTCCCGGGAGTTTTTATCAAATATTTTTTTCGTTGTAAAATATTGGCATGTAATAGTAAAAAGAGGCGTATCTGCTTCCTGTTTATGGGAGGAATTAAAACGAGGCACGACTGACAGGTGCGACGCGACAAAACTACAATAATATTGCCGGAATGCAACAATTCGTGTTCAAGGGATATCCATGTTGCATATTCACAAAAGTTAAGGCGCTCCGGTTGCTCTTCAACGGTAGCCACGCTGCGCTGGAGCCCGCATATACGCGGATCACCGGCATAGTTTTGTGCCCCAATGAATCGGCTGTGATAGAATTGCGCGAATGCCTTCTTTTTACCTTTTTGGAGATGCATAGGATTTCGCGAATTTGTCCGGTACTGAAAACTTATATATTTGCACGAATATTCAGTTTTCAACGGGGAAGCGTTAACCCGGCAACCTTGGTAGTTTGCGGAAGATAACTACATCGCGGAAGATTGTTCATTTCTTCCTCACTTACGGGCATGTCTCTCTTCGATGGATAGCCTTCGAAGCACGAATGGCCAAGAGAGCTTTCATAGACATTTAAAAAGTGAACTAAGCGCCTGTGGCCGCGTAGTGGCCACAGGCCTACAACCACTAAAACTACACTGCAGTAACTACTGAGAAAAACTACACGTAAAAAGTCGTAGAACAACCATGTTCAAGTTTTTTGAGAGATGAGTGGATTCAAAACCCGACGAGTGCACCCGAAATAAAGGGAATATTTATCCTGATTGCAACGGTATGCAGCATTTTTATGATTTATTTTTAATAAATGTTTTTAAAGAGCTACACACAGTTTTTTTCTGAAAAGAACTTAAATAAATCATCTCAAATAAAAGTATCAAAAATTTCGACGCGATATTTTCGTTCCTTATATTTTCTTTTAATCTAACCAAAAAACAATTTGTATCGTCCGAGTTTCTGAATCGTTACAATGAGGATACATTTCCCCCTTTAATTACATATAGTAAATACTGGAGCAGGAAGTCAAGAATGATGCCAAGCAGTCCTACAGCATTCCTACAGTCTTGTAGGCGCTAATATGCATTTCACGCTAACTGACCGACTGCACTGCGTATGGCGCAATGCGCGAAGTATTCCCCAAGTCTTGCAGGCGCGAATATACGTTTAACACTGGCCGTGCTGTGTTTGACGCGATTATTTGAAGGCGCGTTAGAATAATCGCGGCAGCGCCTAAAAGATTAGAGCCTCAAAGGCCCAAGTTGTGTTCCAACACCGTATGAGCATTCTAACGTTGCCTCGTTTCTCCCGTTTAAATATTTTTTCCGAGAAAAGTTAGGAAAATTCTTCATACCCACGACCATCATTCAATTTTTTCACTTCATTCATCATCAGAAGGTAAGACATCAATGACTCGTCAAAGCGGTATAAAAACGCGTTTATTTTCCAACTGTTTCCTATCTTGCCAAACTTCTACTTTAAATTGATTTCATTTTAAATACGCGCATTCCTGTAGCAGATGTTCAGGTTTCTATTCGCGCAACCCTTGTGCCTTTCTCGCGCATTCCTCATATATTTTCTTAGATTTTTCGCGCAATCCTGGATTACCGAATGAATCCATGCAAAGGGCTTAAAACCAACCCTTTGATCTTTATACTCAGCTTTGATTTGGTGTATTGGCTCACCGGATCAACAGATCAGCAGGGAAGTCGAATTTTTTCAACGATGTGTTTGACAGCGAGTGCTCACCACCAGCAAAATTCCAAAGAACATCTTGTTATCGGACTGGCCTGAGTCTATCGACCTTGAGTTATACGATAGTTTTTATCTATTTGAATTACTTCTTTATTTCGGAAAATATTGAATTGTTGAACTTACTTTTTGGATGATCCTGGTCTTCCTAATTTATTCCTGCGGGCAAGAGACGTAAAATAAAGAAAGATGGGTCGGTTTATCAATGGTTAGTCGACAGCGGTATTATCATTATAATTATTATATTCTTGATGAATTTAAATGGAGGACAAACATTTTTACCAACTTGTAAAATCGCTACCTACTAATAATACCGATATTAGATACCGATAAGCGTCCTTAAACGCTCATTTTGCCGTCATTTAAAAAGTTGAAAAAAACGAATTTATAAATGCTATACAACCATTTGATGAGGAATTTATTTTGGTCAATGATCAGAGATCAGTGAGCTGATTATTGAAATTTATAGACAAAGGGATTTCGACAAACAATGAAAACATAGGGTACATGAAGCGATCCTATCGGATGGCATGGGCAGTTGTTATAGTCTAAGGGGGAAATGATCGACTAACTATAGGGTCTCTCGTGGGTTGCCGTTGTCTTCTTTGTCGATCGCTCTGTCTATCAATTTCGATAATTAGTTCGCTGTGGAGTAAATCATAGTTTTGAGATCTCTTGCTTGATTAAAATCAATAATTAATATTTTGCAAATATTATGTAGGTTTAGTTTACCTTTGATTTTGTTTCAAATTTTCTAGTCTAAAAATTTTTTTATGGGGAAGGAGATGAATAAAACTAATGTTGTCATGGGTAAAATTTGAGTTCTTCTTGTTCTGCTCACTTTGTGTTTTCTATTAGTTTTGGCTTTCCTTTCTGGATATCTTTTATTGCATATCTATCATGGTCGAGGTTATTTCATATCATAAAATTCGTCGTTTCCCATGCGAAACATCGTAACTAAATTCCAGCGACGTAAAATTTGCACTCGCTAACAGGGCCGGATTTAGGGGGTGGCCACATGGGCCGCGGCCCATGGCGGCAAAAGGGGGCGGCAGATGTTGCAATTTTTCAAATGTAGGTATAAAAAAAAGCGGATTCAGAAAAAAAACTACTAACGAGAAAAGGCGACAAAATCTCTCATGTCATGAGATTTTAAAGTACAGTAATTTCTAAATCGTTCGTCTTTCGGTGATACAAAAGACAGCGCCTTTCATTAGTCTAGCTGAGAGAGAAACCAAACACACGATTTGGCCTTATGCGGCACGGCTCAGAGAGCAATGATGACGAGGACTTGAGATGAAAAGGAGAAGCCCTCGGCGCGGTGGTCGGCATGTAACACATATTAGCGCCTACAAGACTGCATGAATACTTCACGCATTGCGTCGAACACAGTGCGGTCAGTAGCGGTCGGCACGAAACGCACAGCGCCTACAATACTGCGTGAATACTTCACGCATTGCGTCAAAAACAGTGCGGTCAGCAGCAGCCGGCGTGAAACGCATAGAGCCTACAAGACTGTAGGGATACTTCATGCATTGCGCCAAACACAGTGCGGTTGGCGCGGTGCCGGAAATAAACCACATTCATGTTTATTCTTTCATATTTTTTTCGTTCATTTCTTATAAATGAAACGCCTTGTCCACACAGAGATAGGTTTACGGAACTTAACTCTCGCACAAAGTTCTGTGAACTTGTGCTAGTGTTGGCAGGGCCTTCACAAAAATTGTGGCTAACACGAGTAAACGCGTCTTATGCACCCTTCCTCCTCCGGCACGTTCACTTGATGGTTTGTATCGATGTTTCAAAACGAATGAGAAGGGGGCGATAAAATACAGGCGGCCCATGGGCGGCAAGTAGGTAAATCCGGCCCTGCTTGCTAATGGTATTTTTTCGTTGAAACTGTTAGTCATTTCTGACTGCAAATGTCACTGGTTTTCCCGGATAACACACGAGAACAAATTAGGGAAATTTTGGGCGCAAATCGCTCAGTCACAAACTGTAAATAATTGTTCGAGTGAATTTTGCAACCTTGGAATGGAGTTACGTGTTTTCAACTACGTAAAACCAAGGAAATTTTGGCCAAAAATAGCACAGTCACAAACTGTAAATAACTGTCCGAGTCATTTTGCAACCTTAGAATGATACGTTTCTTCATCCGGAAAACGACAAATTTTGAAACCTGGGGTGCGGTTTGGCACCCCATGAATTCATGTAGAAGATCCTGCCAGACCATGCTGAGGTGCCAGGCGCGGCTATAAGCGGGAAAGAACAATCGGAACGCCTTCAATTTTGTAATGATGCAACATGGGCAATTGGGCATCTCTTAAACACGAATAGTTGCATCTGGGCGTTATTACCATGTTTCGCCGCGCCCCATCAATCGGTGGTGCCTCGTTGTAATTTTGTCTATAGGTAAA